ACTTCAACTGTGAGAGACAGAATGTGAAAAAAAAATCCGTGAATTCACATGGTAGGATTTGTAAAGAATTTATTCGTAAATCAGGGTGGAAAATAAGTATTTGGTCACCTCAAACAAGGAAAATCTCTGGCTCTCACAGACCTGTAACGTCTTCTGTAAGAAGCGTTTCTGTCCCCCACTCGTTACCTGTATGAATGGCACCTGTTTGAACTCATCATCTGTATAAAAGACACCTGTCCACAGCCTCAAACAGTCAGACTCCAAACTCCGCCATGGCCAAGACCAAAGAGCTTTCGAAGGACACCAGGAAAAGTATTGTAGACCTGCACCAGACTGGGAAGAGTGAATCTACAATAGGCAAGCAGCTTGGTGTGAAAAAATCAACTGTGGGAGCAATCATCAGAAAATGGAAGACATACAAGACCACTGATAATCTCCCTCGATCTGGGGCTCCACGCAAGATCTCATCCCGTGGGGTCAAAATGATCATGAGAACGGTGAGCAAAGATCCCAGAACCACACGGGGGGACCTGGTGAATGACCTGCAGAGAGCTGGGACCAAAGTAACAAAGGTCACCATCAGTAACACACTACAACGGCAGGGAATCAAATCCCGCAGTGCCAGACGTGTTCCGCTGCTGAAGCCAGTGCATGTCCAGGCCCGTCTGAAGTTTGCCAGAGAGCACATGGATGATACAGCAGAGGATTGGGAGAATGTCATGTGGTCAGATGAAACCAAAGTAGAACTTTTTGGTATAAACTCAACTTGTCGTGTTTGGAGGAAGAAGAATACTGAGTTGCATCCCAAGAACACCATACCTACTGTGAAGCATGGGGGTGGAAACATCATGCTATGGGGCTGTTTTTCTGCCAAGGGGACAGGACGACTGATCCGTGTTAAGGACAGAATGAATGGGGCCATGTATCGTGAGATTTTGAGCCAAAACCTCCTTCCATCAGTGAGAACTTTGAAGATGAAACGAGGCTGGGTCTTCCAACATGACAATGATCCAAAACACACCGCCCGGGCAACAAAGGAGTGGCTCCGTAAGAAGCATTTGAAAGTCCTGGAGTGGCCTAGCCAGTCTCCAGACCTCAACCCCATAGAAAATCTGTGGCGGGAGTTGAAAGTCCGTGTTGCTCGGCGACAGCCCCAAAACATCACTGCTCTCGAGAAGATCTGCATGGAGGAATGGGCCAAAATACCAGCTACTGTGTGTGCAAACCTGGTAAAGACCTATAGTAAACGTTTGACCTCTGTTATTGCCAACAAAGGTTATGTTACAAAGTATTGAGTTGTATTTTTGTTATTGACCAAATACTTATTTTCCACCCTGATTTACGAATAAATTCTTTACAAATCCTACCATGTGGATTCATGGATTTTTTTTTTTTTCACATTCTGTCTCTCACAGTTGAAGTGTACCTCTGGTGCAAATTACTGACCTCTGTCATCATTTTAAGTGGGGAACTTGCACAATCGGTGGCTGACTAAATACTTTTTTGCCCCACTCTATGTGAACTATGAAATACTTTAAAAACATCCCTCCACAGTGTAGTTACTAAAAAATTTATATGTAAATCAGCATCACTCAGAAGTCTATACAGGGCTCACAGAAAGCAGAATTAAACATGTATCTTAGTGACAATTGAGCTACATGTGATTAACTCTGCAAATGAAAATAGCTCCAGAAAAACTCAGCCATGTGGTCCAAAAATCCTTGAAGAAATTAATATGATCAGCGTATGTTAGTGTAATTTTTCAACACAGAATGAAAACCAAACCTCTTAAGCTGTTAAGATACTCCCATAGGACCTACCTACACTTTTGCTCGCTTGACCAGGCGGGGTGGTTTGAGAGTGTGTGTTAACTGGCTGCCCTAGTCAAAGCTGAAGAGACAGTGGTTTTAGCGATTTGCTGAAGCCTAAGTACAAGGTGGTTTGAAGAGTGGTTTTTAAGAGCTAAACGATACCAGCTCTAAAGTTCATCTCCACTTAATGTGGCTTTTGACAATAAGGTACTCTTCCCACATCCTGTAGTACTGATCACATATCCTTAGAATAGCCTTGGATATTTGTTATCATTTGATATTTGTTATCATCATGTGAAACTCGAGGTGTTGCAAAGTGGCTCTGTGAAGCTGCAACTAGGCAGAGCTTTCAGTGTTATTGTTTTAATTTGGTTTCCTTTGATTAATTTTTTTTGAATGCACCCTTTCCAGCTCTCTTAATAAGTAAACAGAATATGAATTAAAAAGCTGAGGTTTGTTCTTTTTGTCTTGTGTGATTGTCCTTTTATACTCCTTTACTCTCTGTTATGTCACTGTGATTTCAGTTGTTCTTCTGTCTGTTAACAGTCTTTGAGTTTTTAGAAGGAATGCATCCATAGTTTGGCATTTGAGTCATACCTTACAATTTTAGTAATTTTTAGTCAATTATGCTACACATGTCAATTCAAATCACACTGCACATGTGGCACATGCGTCGTCCTAACTAGATGCACTGATATATGTGAGGATTAACTGACTTGTTATTTTCAGGTGCTTCCCTTAAAGTTTTTGTGGTTTCCTCCTGCACCTTAATCATGAATCAAAGCACCAAAGTATTAGAGGAACTTTTTAGAGTGAAAGAAGTAAGGTATTGAGTCTATGATGACCTGCACTGCATCATAATCCTATTGAGCTATTGTGGGAACAGCTTAAACTTATATTACATAAGAAGTGGCTTTTATACTAATTTCATTTGTGGGAGGATTTCCGGAAGCATGGGCTGAAATTGATTCAGATTACTTGAACAAATTGACAGCTTGAAGTGATTCTTTGACTAGATTAAATTTAAAGGATGAACTATTAGAATATTCCAATAATTTCTATTCACTTTGCAACACATTTGATGAATAGATGTTTAAGTTCGAATTTTAAATATGTACTTCATATTGCATGTGACTTCCTTGACCATGAATATGATTATATTCCAAGTCGGTAGAATAAATCCTCTGGAGAGCATGAATGTGTCTGCTAAGATTCATGGCAAAGAGTAACCTCGCTACAATGAGCTGCGTACGCTCTTCATGTGGTGTGTTTGGGTGCCGTGCAGGTGTCAGTGTGTTTAGTCATGTCCTAAATGTGGAGCCCAAAGAAAATCAGAGTGGAAAGTGTTTGCATACATCCCTTCCTGTGACATAATTATCTTTTCCGCTGCAGTTTCCCCTTTCACCAGTCTGCTCCCCATTCAATTACACTCTGACGAATAGGGTTTAGTGTTCAGTTTTCTGCTGATATAAACATGACATTTACATGAAAGCTTGTGATCTTGTTTGCATGTTCAGCGCATGCTTGTGTGTGTTTTTAGATGTATCTTACATTGTATTAGGTCACCATTAGCTGACCACAAACATAATGGATCCACTTAAGTAATTACATACTATCTACACACAGACACACACACACAGAGCGCTGTCACTGCATTACATTATCTCTCTAATGTAAAAGGCACTAATGCTGCTGGTCCTTGTGAATGTATTGAAAACCGATCGTATCATATGTCGCACTTATTGCACACTTGTCAGTAATACTGCTCTTTGTAATTTGTTGCAGTGCTGTTATTGAGGCGTCATCTGTAAGTATGGAAGCACATTGCTTTTTTTCTATGCCACTGATGTGCAGAAAGGTGACAAAATTGCATATAATGGAGTCATATTGAACATTAAGATTTCCCCCAGTGGTTTCATTTTAAATGATGACATTTCCAGAAGTTTTTCACAGCCACTTATATGAAAGTACAAACAACTTTCTGCACTCAGGCTTTCTTGTTTAGTTAAAGAACGGAAGGTCCTTCCTCTCTATGTGGCTAAAAGCAAACATAGTCATCTCTTCTATTTAGAGCATTACTTATATCACATTTAATAAGATGAACAATCAATAAACAATCAGCAGCACCACTTGTTCATCACAGACCATAAAGAAATGAGGACAAATTATAGTAACTCTGTCTCGTGTTAATGTGTTCTTCTTGTCTCGGTGCTTAGTGTTTGTCTTCAGGTTACTTCCTGTTTTTTACTTTGAAGGTTTGTTTCCTTTCATGTCTTGTGTTAGTTATCATGGTTTTCTTTTTAACTTTTTGTCACAGTATCTGTTTCGTTTCCAGCCCTGTGATAGTCTTTGCTATGGTTATTTTTTAGTTTGTGGACTGTATTTTGGACCATTCACTGTTCTGTCTGACCTTATATTTACTGTTTATTTCTACCATATCCATTGCAGCGCTCATTTTTCTAACATACCACATATCCCAGCTAGTATTAGGTAAGATGTACATCCCGGAGGGGTCAGTGGTCCATAACAGGGGTAAAGACATCTGTTCATACTGGCATCTACACCTCAGTCAGTATTAACTGTGGAAGGAAGAAACTTAACAACAGGAAATCAAAGAAACAGACACAGGGAGGACATGCAAAATCCAAACAGACAGGCCCCAGCCAACCAGGAGGTTATCTCTGCTGCAATATAACATCTGTTACTAAATAACAGATAAAATCTGCCTTCTGATGCTTTCTGTCTGGTTTATTCTAATGTCTGCAAAATTTTATTCTCATGAACTAAACCACTAAAGCATCCAATTTTATCATTTTTTCTTCATGCTGCTAATAAAATGGTTACTAAAAGTGAAATGGAAAGTTTGAGTGGTAGATTCCTTCTGAGTCAGACACTAACACATGAAAGACGAAAATGATTACATTATTACTGAAAGCATGCTGTGAGCAAATCACAGTGGACATATGGGGTATCGATTACTGCCTCAGTCTAATTGTGCATTTGTCTGTGCATGGTTAGTGTGTTTGGGGATGGGGATTTGTGGAGAAGAAAGAGACAGAGGGAGGGACAGAGGAGACATTTTCCTCCCACTCGTTTGTGTCAAGAAAGGGGGAGGTCCAATTTGTGTCATAAACCAACAAAACTAAGCATGCAAGGAAGGCGATAAACACAGGCAGGACTGAGAGATGATACAAGCAGGGTGAAAATTAGGATCTTATTTCTTTATTTGAACCAGAAGGGAGAGCTGTATTGTGAAAGATTTACCATCAAGTTTCCAAGAAGGCACCTGTTGGGGAGAAGAGTTGCACTTTTCTCTCAGAGTCATTGCTACCTGGGTCACACTGACGAGCAGCAATGGGCTTCGTTTTGTGGGGGTTCTTGACTGATTTCTTCACCTACGAGACCACCAAATCCGTGGTGGTAAAGAGCTGGTCTGTGGGTATCATCAACCGTATTGTACAGCTGCTCATCATCACCTATTTTGTCGGGTCAGTGATCTGTAGTTTTCTTTTGAGTTTTTTTCAGAGTGTAATAATGTGTGTAATCATGGGTGTAAATTGAGTTTTCCTTAGCTAAATTACAAAATATTTCTTTCACTGATCCGTGTCATGCAGCTGGGTCTTCATCCATGAGAAAGCTTATCAGTCAAGCGACACCAACATTGAGTCCTCCGTGATGACCAAAGTCAAAGGCTTTGGTTATCTACAAAACCAAAACCAAAATGAGAACTATCAGAATCGTGTGATGGACGTGGCTGATTACGTGTCGCCCCCTCAGGTGAGTGACGTGATGATAACATGACATATTTAAACTTTGTAGTTTTCTATGAGTTATTAACAATGTTGGCAGTTAAGATGCTGCAGTTGAAAGTGTTGTTAAAATAACTTTTATGATGAGCAAGCTTTCTTCCCAGTCTCATATGTGTAGTAATAAATAAACACAAAGCATATCATAAGCATTCAGTTGTTGTTTTAGGGTTCAGGCGTGTTCTGCATCATCACCAAACTCATCGTCACTGAAAATCAGTTCCAAGGACGATGTACAGAGGTGAGTACACATTCAAACGCATGCTTTTGTCACGTTTTACTATCTTACCATTAATTTTCAGTCGATTTTAAGGCTTGCTGGTTTTATTGTAACCACTTATGTCTTCTTATTCCTAGGCAGCATAAAATACGTCAAAAATATTGCATATTTTGAACAAGGAAACCAAATTGCAGATTTTTTGTCAACATATCAGGATCAATATTATTGCAAACTGATATTCCAGCAGATATCTGCCTGGCATTTATACTTACGGGGTGTTTTTGGTCTCCAGAGAATCAACAGGAAGTCTTCAGCTAATTCACTGAAAGCCCTACAGCAAAAACATGGTCATATATATCAGTAAAGATTTATGACTATATTTATTTTTTCTGACAAATCTAATTAAAGTTTTAGTCTCTTTTGCACTGACATCAAATTACATTCTACTCCTACCTGTGAGTGGCGGTAGGATGCAGTAATGAGCTGAAGGGCAGAGGACACACCTTGAGCCATTAACTCCTTCTCAGTGTAGTGTTGGCAGTATGGTCCATCCATCCATTTTTCTTAGGCAAAGTATAACCTGGAGAAGTCATCAGTTTGTCACAGTAGTGTGTCAGTGCGCCCCAGGGCAGCTGTGGCTACAATGTAGCTTGCCATCACCAGTGTGTGAATGTGTGTGTGAATGGGTGAATGACTGAATGTAATGTGAAGCGCTTTGGTAGTAAAGCGCTATACAAATGCAAGCCATTTACCATTTTGTAATGAGACGGTGTGTGTGACCAGGTAGGAGGGCCTTGCCTCCGGATGGCAGGCAGAGACTCGATTCTCAAGGCAATGCTAAAACTGTATATAGAATGGGAAGAACGGGAGTCTTTGAATCTATTCTGGAATTTGTTACATTTATTCATTTGGTATGGAAACAGCTTCATGTTAGTATAAGATGAATGCAATTAGTAATATCTCTGATATGTATTCTTTAATGTTTCTAACGTAAACAGGCAGATCTGTAGGCTCTTAAACGCAGCCTTTTATCTGTCAGTGGCAGACAGGATGATTAAAAACTGACCTCACAGTGCATTAATAGCAGCTGGTAATACTGCAACATTTTTCAAGTTATATTTGGACTGATATATCGGGTTATATTTAGACTGATATATAGCGACTGTGGCTCAGGGGGTTGGGAAGCGCATCTATAACCGGAAGGTCGCTGGTTTGATCCCCGGGCTCTCTGTCCTGGTTGTTGTGTCCTTGGGCAACACCTACTGGTGTTGGCCAGAGGGGCCGATGGCGCGATATGGCATCCTCGCTTCTGTCAGTCTGCCCCAGGGCAGCTGTGGCTGCAACCGTAGCTTGCCTCCACCAGTGAGTGAATGAATAGTGGCATTGTAAAGCGCTATATAAATCCAATCCGTTATTATTATCTTAGAGATGTGATTTTCAGTTTTATTTTTCAGTAGTAAAAGCACCAGAGCAGTCGTCCATGTGTTCCTGTTCATCCACTGTTACATTTCTATATGTTTCTTATTTTGTCTAGCATGCATTCAGTTTCTGTGTTTATGTTGTTTTTAGACTGAGAAGAAATGTTCTTCCGATGAAGACTGCCAGAAGCATGTTGGCAGCAACCTTTACAACGGTGAGTCAGATTTATTTTAAACAGAAACTTTCAACAGAAACAGAAACGTGCTGATGTCAAGTCTGTGGTGTTGTAACTTTGCTTATCTTTAAATCAGATTTGTGGCATTGGCTGGTAAGTAAATACTAGATGAAAAAATAATCATGAAAAAATCTTTTAACCCAAAAATTGAATTAATAAAATAAGGCATGGTGCTAAAAACTGAGGAAATGAATTACGCTATTTAACAAAAAAACAAAACAAAACAGGGTTTCTTTGTTCTTTTAACCGGGACAAAAATATTTTTAAAGTAGAAGTGAAGTTTAAAAAGAATCATAGATTTATTTTATCTACCTTTGAGACATAAGGCAGAATGTAGCACTTAATACCCAGGAACAAACCTTCTTAAAAATAATATCAATATAAATAATATCTTCAAAATAATGTGCAAAGATGTTTGTGATATTATTGTATCGTCAAATAATCTTTAATTGAATATAAGAATATATTTATAGTAGAATGAGCCAGCCTTTGTTAAACTTGTAGATTTATTGATGGAATCTTTATACCACCTGATATTGTTTAAACCCAATGTAGTAAATGGTGAAAATTGAAATGTGTTCCTATGTTTTGCAGGTTTAATATTATAATATTGAAACATATTGGTAACAGAAAGTCAGACAATGCTCATTGTTAAATATTTCAGTCTTTACAACCAGGTGCCATGTCCTTTAGCATATTTTAGAAGAATATCAACTGCACAGAGTATGAACCTAAATCAAAAAGCAGGGTAAATATTTATAGTTTTATATTGTTTACAAACAATTTGCAGTAAACGTTATCCAAAACTCTCTGGCCCTGTCTGACAAAGTAATTCACCCCTAAGCCTAATAAGTGGTTGTGGCAGCAAGAATTGCACTCAAGTGTTTGCAATAATTGGTAATGAGTCCTTGTCCTTGTGGACTGGAGGAATTTTGGCCCACTCTTATTTGCTGATTGAGGATGAATGGTCATCTCAAGTCCAGACTTAGGCCACAGTGACTAGGCCACTCTAAAACCTTCATTTTGTTCATTTTTTAAGCCATTCAGAGGACATCGGTGGACTTGCTGTTATTTTTTGGATCATTGTCCTGTTGCATGACCCAAGTGAGCTTGAGCTTCAGGGCATGGACTGATGGCTGGACATTCTTCTTCAGGATTTTCTTTCAGAGAGCCGAATTCATTACTCCATCAATTATGGCAAGTCTACCAAAGCAGCCCCAGACAATCACGCTACCACCACCGTGTTTGACTATTAGTACGATGAACTTTCTATTAAATTTTGTGTTAGTTTTGCACTAGATGTTAAAGTTTTGTCTCACAGAATATTTGATTAAAAGTCTCGAGGCTCATCGTGATGTTTCTCTGCAAATCTGAGATGAGCCTTTGTGATCGTCTGCTCACTGTTACTCTTCCATGGATGCCATTTTTGCCCAGTCTCTTTCTTATTGCTGAATCATGAACTCTGACCTTAAATGAGGCAAGTGAGACCTGCAGTTCTTTGGTTGATGTTCTTTGTGAGTCGTCGATGCGATTGGAGTAATTTCGGTCAACCAGCCATTTCCGGCAAAGGTTCACCGCTTGTCCAAATTTTCTCTGTCTGTGGATAAAGGCTCTTCCACGTCGAAAGCCTTAGAAATTGTTTTGTAGCCCTTTACAAACAGATGGTTGTCAAGTTTCTTCAGATCGTGGCATGTTGTTTGGCTTCTTGAAATGTTTTGACCTAGCCCACTTTGTCAGACAGGTTCTATCTAAGTAAATTCTTGATTCAGTAGGTCTGGTCAGTAATCAGGCCTGGATGTAATGAAACTTAACTCAGATTTCCAAAACATTAATAATTTAAATGGGACAATTACTTTTTCACACATCATTTTTTTCCCCTAATAAATGAAATTATTATTTTCAATCTGCAATTTGTATGTGCTTGGGTTATCACTGTCTGACATAAAAATGTGTTTGATGATCTGAAATGTGTGTGGCAAATGTACAAAAACACTTGGGGTAAATACTACTTCACAGCACTGTATAACTGATCATTATTATGGCTAACAGTATCTCCATTCAGTTACCTGAGCACAATGTTTCCTTCCTCTTCTTTCTTACACACCAGGTGTAATAACAGGTGCTTGCCTTAAAAACTCCAATGAGTCCCATGGCATGTGTGAGATGGAAGGATGGTGTCCAGCTGAAAATGATGCCATCAAAATGTAAGAGTGCACGCACATCCCACACAAATACATTTCACTCACTGAAAGTGTCATCTTTGTCCCCTTGTCTCTGTGTTTATCTCCCACAGTGAACCAATGGATGTGAACACCTTCACTATTTTCATCAAAAACAGTATTCGTTTCCCTCTTTTTAATGTCACCAGGTAAACCCCACAAACCTTAACCGAAGCAGCTAAAAAACATCAATATATTATGAGTGTCTTTTAAAAAAAACATAAAATCATTTTCCTTACTCAGAGGGAACTTTCCACCCACAATGACAGCCAATGAAATCAAGAAATGTAAATACCATCCAGAGGACAACCCCCTTTGCCCCATCTTTCGTGTGGGGGATGTGCTGAACTACACCGGTCAGAATATAACCGAACTGTTAAGCAAGGTAAGCATGAGTGTACAAGGTCGTATGAAGGTCTTGTCACTGTTAGGGTGTTTCAAGTTACAGACAGCGGTCTTGTCCTTCCTATGAAAAGCTTCTGAAGTGCCTCAATCATCATTAAGTGCACAAGATAACACTTAGCTCAAAAAGCCAGATATTTTTGGAAGTATTTCACATTAATTCTCTCTGACCTAAAGTCAATCCAATTCCATACACTTCAATACCAGCCTTAGCTTTGACACATATTTACGTCAAAGCCAAAGCTGGTATTACATATTTAGGTGCTGAACCTCAAGGGGTGTCTCTCTTTTCCCAATCCTTCTGTCTCAGGGTGGAGAAATAGGAATAAACATTCAGTGGGAATGTAACCTGGACTTAAACATTGAAAAATGTATTCCCAAGTACTCCTTCACACGACTCGATGCTCCATTTGCCAAGAATGCTGTGTCCAAAGGATACAACTTCAGGTAGTGATAATGATTCTTCCTCTTCAAGTTTACTTCTTTTTTAAAAAAATCAGTCTTTAGTTACTCTTTTCTCTTCTTTGAATACAGATATGCAAAATATTTCAAAACAGAGAATGGGACTGAATTTCGGACTCTTCATAAGGCTTTTGCGATCCGTTTTGATGTCATGGTCACTGGCAAAGTGAGTTGTCTTCAAACTTAATATTAGACAAAGTGTGATAACAACTGGCTAAAACAAAGAATTTCCATGTGTCATTTTATGTAATTTATTTTCAGAAAATGTGACATTTATTACTTAAAAAAACACTGAAACATGACAAAATCAAGAAACTTTGCAGAAGTCTCAATTTAACATGAACTAAAATCATTTTGTTGAGCTGAGCATTGTGGGAAACCTACTACCACCACGTTAGCTTATTGTAGCACAGAGCTAGCTTAGCTTAGACTCTAGACTTAGCCTATTGCATAGGCTGTTTTTCTAAACACAGCACAAACGTTTTGAAGCTTCCAAATTTCCAGTAATTGCATAAGCAAATATACTCACCAACAACTTTATCGGGTACATGCTTTTAACACCAGGCTCAACACCCTTTTCGTTTTCATGGCATAGGAGATTTTGGTCCCTGTTGGTATGAGCATCGCACAGTTGCTGCAGATTTCCATGAGATTTGTATCATGGACCATCATGGACCATGATACAAATCTCCAATTCCACAACATCCTAAAGGTGCTGCGCTGAATTAAGATTTGTTGACTTTGAAGGCTGTTTGCGTACAGTGAGCTCAGTGTCATGTTCCAAAAACCAGTTTGAGATGATCTGAGCTTCATGACACAGAGTGTTTTCCTCCTGGAAGCAGTCACTAGACGATGGGTACATTGTGGTCATAAAGGGATGAAAATGGTCAGCAACAATATTCTGGTAGGCTGTGGCACAAACAATGCCCAGTTGGTACTAAAGGCGTGTGCCAAGAAAATATCTTTGCTACCATTACACCACCATCCATGCTTTCATGTTGTATATACCAAATTCTGACACTACCCTTCAAATGTTAGGGCAGATATCAAGATTCAAGAACAAACCAGGCGATGTTTTTCCAAGTTTCTATTGTCCAATTTTGGTGAGCCTGTGTGGGTTATAGCCTTGATTTCCCGTTCTTAGTTGGCATGAGTGACACCTAGTGTGGTCTTCTACTGCTGTAGGGTCAATGTGTTGCCCTACACATTGTTGCACAGTGAGTGAATGTTATCTATATTCCTTTGAAAATAGCTCAGCTGATGTTTCCAAGAATTCAGTCTTCAGACTAAACTGCTGGCACAGAGCGCGATCCGTCCTCTCTCACCAGAGCAGAAAATAAGCATACTAGCCAAGTGTAAAAATATGACTTTTAAATCCCGGACTGTAAATGTTTAGAAAATAAATCACCATCTTTAAATATACATTTCAGTTATAATAGTGTAGAAAATCATTAAGGAATAGTACTTTATTTTAAAATTAAACATTATGGAGAGAGCCTGTGTGTATGAAACTGCATTACATGCCATCTAAAGTGACTCCATCTATTTCAGGCAGGAAAGTTTAACACAATCCCAACTATGATCAACTTGGTAGCTGCCTTTACCTCGATTGGACTGGTATGAAATTCTTATCAACCTAATCTATTGTTCTCATGTTGCTCTCGGCTCTCATTGATCTTTTGTATCTGTCGTGGCAGGGCGCGGTTCTCTGTGACATCATCTTACTAAACTTCTTGAAAGGGGCAGAGCAGTACAAAGCCAAAAAGTTTGAAGAGGTATTGCTTTTCATGGCACAGCAACATGTTTGTCCAAAAATCATCAGAACCTTATCACAGATTTTCCTTCTTGCTTTGTCCGTGCAGGTGTCAGAGGCTCAGATAGAAGCTTCCATAGCTCAGAGTCCAGGGAGCCAGCTGTCACTCAAATGCATGAAGAGCTCCTGTGACTCTGGAGCACTTTCTCTCAACACCTATGACCAACCTCTCTAACCGACAGCAGCAATGTGAAGACATGGGCTCCCCTTCCTCTTTTCCTTTCCACCTTATTATAAGAGGTATTCAGCTTTAGATCGGCAAGTATATAGAACAGGGTAAAGGAGGACGATGTTGTTGCCATCTCCATAAGAAGTAAGGGCTTGTAGCTCACAACAATAACTGTCAAACTAGAGCCTCTTTGTAATAGTAATAAAATCCATTTTTATTCCAAACATTTTGATTTAGCAACATGTTAACTATGATAATCGTCAAACTCATGTTTGTCAGCTGAAAGATGGAGCCGATTAAATCCTCCTGACTCAAGCCAAATAGGAAAAAATATGTCTAATACTGAAACACTGTTGAGAATAAATTATTTGAATAAGACTTTGGAGTATCTTTCTTTGTTGTCATGTACGCACAAACACAGTCTGTTCTTTTGTCTGAAGTAAAAGTGTCCAAGTCTCTAAGTGGTGTAGAGACACAGCAAATCCTGGTGTGTGTGTGTGTGTGTGTGTGTGTGTGTGTGTGTGTGTGTGTGTGATCTTAAGGTTTACAAATGGTCCACTATTAGTCCACACTATTAGTCTGGTGGATATTGCATACTCATGCAACAGTTACTGTGCAGATTAATGGACTATTATAGTGATTCTTATTCTCTCAATTTTTAGTCATTTTTTTGTTTATGCAATTGAAAAAAAGATTATTCTTCTGCTTTTCTGACAGATTTTCATCTCAGACAGTCCCTCTACTTCTCTCCGTCACATATTTTCATTTTCCCGTCATCCGTCTGTGCCCACCCACTCTTCACTACCAGGACACTAATAGATCGGCTAAAGAGCTTCTTAATGGTGCTGACAGTGATTTATGAGAAAGGATATCTGTCAGGGGAGGCCACAGAGGAAACAACAGCAGTTAGTGTGAAGCTTTGATGTACTAAAATGATAACACAAGTTAGTATAATGCATGTAATGGAAATCATAGAATATGATACAATACACCACGAAGCACTCTGTACATGAAAAATACACAAAATGATTCAGTGTATCCCATAATTTTAAGGACCTTCTCTCTCACACATCCATGGCCTTTTTAGAATTACCAAGTAGCCTAACATGCCAGGTCTTTGTACTGTGGGAGGAAGTTGGAGCAGAAACACAAGGGACACGGAGAACATCCAAACTCCACAGAAACGCCCCTGCCCACTGCACCAACCTGACACCTGTTGAATATAATTATTAGCATTGAATAATGTGAGTGGGATGAGATGAGATTTGGTGGGAGGTGTTTATTTGCTAGTCAGCTATAGAGAAAATGTGGGTGTTATCTCAACTTTTCCAGCATAGATGCACAAGCATGAGGTGTTTGTGCAGATTTGCTTTGTTGATTTTTCTCTAAACTTCAGTCTTGTTGTTTCTTCAGATGCAAACCTAAACTGTGCTGCCATGTTCTTTTATAGAGGAGACACTTTCTCTTGGCAACCTTTCCAAACTTGTTCAGTCTTTTTCTAATTGGAGTATCATGAACTTTAGCATTTAATATGTTACATGCTAACTGAGGGCTATAGAGTCTTAGATGTAGCTCACCACTTTTTGTAGTGTCTCTGAGCACAGTTTGCACAGTTTGACCCAAGGTGAATTTTCTGGGATGTGCCCTCCCACAGATTGGCAGGTGACTTTCCACTCGTGAATAGTCTTTCTCACTATGCAACAATATACAATGGGCCTGATGAAGCTTCCTAAATTGATGGAAAGCAACAACTGACTCTCTACGGTCATTGTTGATGTGTGTCATCCTTAGCATCATGTTAATACTCACCTTAAGGCTCCAGACCAGCAAAGTGCCAGAACCTCTCCTCTTAAATAAAAAATGACACAGTATATGTCATCTATGTTCTTCATTTCAGCTTGTATTTATCTAATTTTAGAACCTACTGTGGACCAGATGATTTACCATTATGCCCGGATACATAAAACCCTAAAATTGAAAAATGCACTTTCTTTTTCACATGACTGTATAAATTTATTTTATTTGTTTATTCTGTAAAAAAAAAAAAAAGGCAGAAATAACAAAGTTCTCGTCTAACCCTACCAAAGAAGACAGATAGCTAAAGCTCTGACGCTTTATTTTTTGTCTCAATACTGCACAGCCTCTCATGTTGCTACATCTAAAAAGAAATAAAACGGCCTCAGCTGTTAAAAAAATTCACAGAGGTTCATGTGAGATGATGATTCACTCTGTATACACAGTATATAAAAGATAAAAGCAGTTTCTGGCTATGAAAACGAACTGTTTAAATACCAACCTGGTTTATGGTCACAGCTGCTAGTTTTAAGTCTTATTCAAGACAGAATGATGTTCATTTCATAAACAGTGATCACATGTAGAAAAAGCGGGGTTCGCTTTATGGAGGAGCTACCTTTTGATTGACAGTATGGCACACTCATACTACCATATGAGTGTGCAGTGACCTTGGTTCCTCGGTCAGCTCCAGCCCTGGCTCAGGGTTTAAATAGGACGGGACTGTGCTGTTTAAATAAGGCTTAAAAACTAGTGGCTACATTCATCTTTTATACAAAGTCGATGCTTTCTCACTAGAATAAGTGAACTCAGTGCTCAGGTGCTTGTCTCCATCTCTCCAAATTTAAATGGTGGTATTGAATAGAGAGGAGCAGCTGATCAGAAACCACTGACCACTCCAGCTCACACATTCTTCCTCCTTTGGGGTTATTCTCTATGATGGCTGGACTGGGAGTCATTACCCTGAGACAGGATATGGACTGTGGGGTGGGGTGGTGAGTACAGTAAGTGAGTGACGCAGATAGCAGACTGCTGTCATGTGTAAGACTGAAGGAGCACAAGGAGGAACATCTGAATCAACAAAATGCTTTCAGCACATTCAGCTGTTGGGTTACTGCAGCATAGTCCTTAGTTTGGATCACTAGTGCAACTGGAAAAGTCTTTAACCTCTGCTCAAACTTTGCTTAATAAAGCAGGAACAATAAGAAAAAGAAAGACAAAAATATCCACTTATAAAGCTTTCTGTGTGCACTGCAGAAAATATAAATATATATATATATATATATATATATATATATATATATATATATATCCCAATATAGTATTTATTTCCCTTATTGCATCTTAAAATCAAAACATTTCAGAAAATAAATGAGGGAAAAAGTGATTACGTATCCACGCCAGGCCTACTACTGGTCAGATATGACTTTTTGAAATACTGTCACATTAAAAAAAAAAAGTTTTCAAAGCAGAGCAACCTGCTCTTGAGACAAACTGTATCCCCTTAAGTTTATTTGTTTAATTTATAGAACGCAAAGTCCGTGAGAATGAACCCAGCACGCAGACAGTTTTACAGTCACTATCTGCGTTTCTTGTTTGTGTTCTTCCTCTTCAGAGCCAGTATCCACGCAGGGAGGGCTGTCCGCCGGGCCGGTGCCTCCTCCCCTGCCGCTACCGGATGCACTTCACACTCCTGCTCTGTCACCGAGTCCTCATCTGTAGCTGCTGAGTCATCCTCCAAGTCTGAAGTGTCCAGATCCATGTCTGGAGGTTCTATGGCCACCACTTCCTCCGCAAAACGAACCCGGCGGTTCTCCTCCACTCTCCTCTGAACCGAGAAAGAAGCACGAAACACAAAAAAGTTACAGAGAATTTAGCATCTGATTAAATATTACAGAGACTGAATGATTTCCTCAAGTTTTTTCAAATCATTTCATTAATTTTATTTGTGGATGTTGACATTTTAAAATTTCCAACCACAAGGAGGCGCTGCGATACACACTATCTTACCCTTTTATTCACTGTCTCCATTGAGGACTCCGACTCGGGGGATACGGGGTATTTGAGGACACCATGGGGCGCTCGAGCCAAAGGATTAAAAGCAGTTGGGGAGAGAGAGGCTGAATGAGAGTTTAGGGTGTATAAGGGTATTACGTTCTCGTGCTCTGACTCTCCTGTGTCAACCATCATCTGGCTGCTCGTAGGATTCAGTGAAGACATGTCCCCTTCTGTAAAACAAAAGAGACAACTTGATTTCCTGAACAGCCACCAAATTAAATCGCTCAAACAATAAAAACTCTTTAATAATAACTGATCATTAATGTTGCTGTTGGAGTATTAAGCTGTTCTGACCTCTGTCTGTCTGCTCTCCATCACTTATTTTGTCGGCTTGAAGCCTGTCGTCTCTCCTGTCAGCCGACTGATGCTGTCTCTTTCTGTTGAGGGTGACTCGGCTCTTCAACGCCTTGTTAAGCGGATTTTTTGTAGACTGCAAAGGACAAGAGAGAATGGGAGAATCACAAAGTTGTCATATTGATAATATAGATATTCTTTTTTATATTAACTGGATGAACATGAGATATTTTTTGTTTATGAATATCTTACCACTACAAATGATGGAGGTCTTATTTGCTGTTCCAGTCTGCTCGCTCCAGACTGCATATGTGGGTAGTTGTGACCATCTTCCATTGCTTCTGAAGGGTCAGTCTGATGTAGTTTTCCACCTGAAATGTCCGTACTTGCAGCTGGGAAAGCATTAGGCAATGTTTGCGCCATGCTGAAATCTGTGGCCCGTGATGACTCTGTGCTCCTGAAGCTCCACTGGTTGCCCCCACTGCCAAGTTGGTTCAAAATCCCATTTGACGGAGTGCTACTGTGAGGATTTAGTTGGTTTGGGGGTTGGCCCATTGGGTCCTCTAATGGTCTCTGATTTGCTGATGAGGATGAAAGGCTGGGACTGAGGAACTTAGCCCACTCTTGGCCCTTAGTGATCTCTTCCAGCAGACTGAATGACCCGAGGCCCAATTCAAAGTCACTGGCAGGTCTGAAACGGGACAAAATCTTCATTAAACTCAAAAATTCAGTATACAAATCCCATCACTACCAACAGCACAAAGAGATTTTTATTTAAAATAACCCAAAATAACATTTCAGAGTTCACTCAGATGAGGTGTGATGTTATAAAAGGTCCTTGAATACAGTTAGCTCCATAACTTTGTATTTTTGAGGTTTTACCTCTGTACATCACCACGGTTGATTTTAAACAAACAATCAACACATTATTAGAAAGAAATTGGCATTAAGTTTTTAGGAAAGGGTCATTTTTATGCATAGAGGTTCAAAATTAATGAGACAACTGACTGACAAGCAGTAGAGGCCTGCTCCCTTGTTATTTTATGACAAGTGAAGAAAGCATAATATCTCAAACTGATTCAAAGTGTTAAAATTGCATTTTATTTTTCACTGTACTTTTAAATGAGTCCCAAAGAGATGTCTGTGCAAGTGAGGGAGGCTGAAAAACAAAACAAAATAAACATCTTAGAGAGAGCAAAAGCTTCAGCA